TGGTTGTAACCAATGACCTATTAACACAGATAGACGGAACAATAAACAATAATATCGGTTGACTACATGCCAGGAACCGCATCTCTCCCCACTACTTATTAATCCTTGTTTTATTTTTTACCTTTCTCTAACACGTGGAAAGCGATTATTTTTCAATGAAAATTAGCAACGCTGCAAAAAAATAAATCCCACCTCGAATTCCACCTTTCCACCAATCAGCGGCTTCTATTCAATTGTCATGTCAAAATGCGACGAGCAGGTATTTTATGACAATTTCCATTTGTCAATCAGTGCGCAGTGAGTGTATCCGCATCTTTTTCTAAAATTATGTAAAATATAAGGATAAAGATACACTTTTGTAGCACTGATTCTGGTTTCATTTTCAGAGTTGCCAAGCATGCGATAGTAAAATGGGGGCGGAGTTAGGGGAATCATTTGAATCCCTACTCCTAGCCGCTTTCACACCTCACCCCCCCTGGCCCATAAACATGTAGTCAACCAAAACAAAGCTATTTTATCAATGGGATGTTCTGTCTATCTGTGTTAATAGGTCATTGGTTGTAACGCCCTACCTGGACAAGTGCGCATGCACGGAGGACATTTGATAGGTTCTAATGAAAATGACCAGTTATGTCATTATTGCCGCTTGGATTTGGTTCAACCATAGGTACGTAAGGTTCGTTTCACCAGGGTTCATACTTGACCTTGAAACTTGAAAAAAAAAGGATTGTCGTAGATTAATTCAATGACACATTCAATTTTTTTGACAAATTAAAATGAATGACTTTTGGTTCAAGAACCGACGAACGTTTTTGACGTCATTGATTTGTTTCAGTCAATTTTTATTTGTTAAACAAGGAAGGCAAATGCTGGTGGCAAGTACAAACCCTGGTGAAACAAACATTAGGTATATCCTATTCATAAATGTCCACAGGTACAGGTAAATTTATCACCTTTCCTTATCAAATAGCATTGAAGGGTGATAAATTGTACCTGTACCTGTGAACATCCGATTGTGAAATATCTACAAATAAAGTCAATAAATATTTATTTTTTCCAACAGATCTTAGAATCCCTAATAACACCGATCTCCCAGAAACATCCTATTTATGTACCATTAAGGTCCTTATGTTTCCGACATAAATGGTACATCGCTGCGATGTTTGTAATGTAACATCTCTAGGATGATTGTCCTGAAATGTTTTAGAAACATCCTTTCGAAAATATCTATCGACAAAAAGATTTTTTGTTCTCAAAATTAGATACTTATTACAGCTAAAAAATGGCTAACATTATTTTACAAAACTAGGTAGGACCTCAGACCGGTAGGACCCAGTATTAAATTTGCCAATTTTGTGTGATTTCTGAAAATGTCTCTATCACACACACAAACTAATTTCAAATTCCATAATATACCTGTAATGTATATAGATAATAAGGAACTTAATATTAATTTTGTATTGTAACAACAGCAATATTTAATTTTTCATTCGACTTACAACTTGGAATAAAATAAAATATGTATTGATAAAAGTCTTCTCTCTTTTCAACTTTCAAACATCGTGAATATTCGTGAAGCCGAAGTGTATGGCGCAGGCGCGTGCTCAGGCATTTGTACTTGTACCGGTCAGGACAGGAGGGCACGCCACCACGTCGGGTCGGCGCCGCAGCCAGCGCAGACGGGCAGAATCAGTCGAACGGGTCGTCCTGTGCGCTACGCTTGTGTTGTTGGGCGGAATTTTATTTCGTAATGGCGTCGTGCTGTGTTGAGGATTTGTCAATTTGTGGTTTTTCGCTACACCTAGTTGTGCCATTTTGTGTTCGAAAGGATCTCTGCGCCCTACCAGTGCTTATTAGTTGGTGAGAAAGATTATTTGTTGAAAGATAACGTCGCATAACTATCAATTGTTTAGTTTATTTAATTTCAATATGGCGTCGGTTAGGAAATTTCTAACTTTTCTGATAAATAGCCCCTAGAAACCCGAACTTCATTCTTCATTAGGTAAGAGAAAATAACCAATAATTATTTTTTGTTTTCATAGTTGATTACATTCTAGGTGTGCAAGTTGAATTGTACTTCAAGAACTTTGGATTTTGGTTCTGTGGTTGTTTTGGTTAGATAATGGTACCTTTATGAAATTGGAGCACCAACAAAAAAAGAAAACGCCGAACTCCCCTACTACAACATGCTGCCACTGCCAAACTATGGTTTTCGATGACATGACGGGGCATAAATACTACATTATTTAGGCAAAATTGTCCGTCGATTATTATTAGTTGATAGATAATCAATATAAGTATACATGTACCTTATTTTTTCAATAAAAAATGTTATTGGAAACTGATGTGCCTACTTAATTTTATAATTTTCAATTTTTGTTTTTTTTTTGGAAAAAGTTCTGACTTCCAGAAAATAGAACGAAAATTGAAAATTATTGAATTAGGTAATTTTTAATCCATAATCCTAAAATTCATTCACCTATTAAAGTCATACTAGAAACATATAGAGGATGTTTCTTACACCTGCCCCGGATGTATTAGGTACATCCCGCGTCATCTTAGAAACATCCCTGAGAGATGTTTATAGGACATCGCAAATGATGACACGGCTGTTGCCTGCAACATCCCAGGGATGTCCCCAGGAAAATAGGGACCTCCCAGGGACGTCTTCATTATCCCTGATGGATGTTTCTGGAATGTTTCTGCGATGTTACTGTGTTATTAGGGATCTATCTCCAACAATGTAACAAAAATTACTCCAAAAACCCAAAACTAATTGATTGTTCAAAGTTAATAAATTATGTATAACCCAATGATGGAGAACTCATAATAAAGGGAGAAAAGACAAAGGAAAGAGAAACCCTCGAACAAACCGCAACACTGACGATACACACATGTGTGTAAGTCAATTATTTTGGAAATCTTTGAAATTACAGTAGCCCTATTCACTCTAGTACTAGTTTTAGCCCAGTAAGTACTGTAAGCATTAGGATACGAAATTTGATAAGAATTCGAATGCTCCCCATTTAATTTACATCGCTGTCAATCAAATTTCGTAAACGAAATGTACTCGAATGAATTCGAAAATACAACCCCTGAATATACAGATTCTATTAGAGACCCTATGAATCAAATACCATCTCATTCATCTCATTTCGAGTATTTTACGTTGAATACATGAACTCATAGACATATAATAAGAGATAGACTGAATTGTTTACATTTTATCCCGATCAAACATTGTTTTCACCAGAAATCAATGTTGGCGAATTTCTGCGGATTGCCCTAGATCTACCACCTGTGTTTGAGAACGTAGGGAATGTTGATTATATTGCATGCTTTTATTTGCATCATCTCAATTGAAAATCTTACTACACATACAGTGTGGAATTTTTAAATGGAATAAAATTAGTATCAGAGAGCCTGTTTATTTTCTTGAAAAAAAAAAAAAAAAACGGGTCCCTTTATTTTTAGTTTGGCACATCTTTTCGGCCTTTCCCTCTCTTAAGGGTAGAAACCACCCCCAACTTTTTTTTTTCAAATGTAAAGATATGTATTGTGATAGCTCGTTGAAATGGGCATAAGAAAAGGAATATGACCCATTATTTACTTTTGCATTTCGGTGATCTAGTTATGTAATTATTTTTGACAATAATGCACTATTTTAGGGTTGAGAATCCGAGTATCAGGCATCAAATAGTGTGTTAACGTCAGAAATAATTACATAACGTTACAAATGGGGCTTATTTCGCATTAGGGTTCTACCAAAAAGAAATGCTGAAGATATTGAACAAATTTAACTGCAAAAAATTGTTTGGAAAAATATTTTCTTATTTTTTTCCCGCTCTCTAGATCACCTAAATGCAAAAGTAAATAATAGGTCATATTCCTTTTTTTATTCTCATTTCAACGAGCTATCACAATACATATCTTTACATTTGAAAAAAAAAAGTTGGAGGTGGTTTCTATCCTTTAGAGAGGGGTACATTCCATAAAAAGGCCGAAAAAATGTGCCAAACTAAAAATAAAGGGACTCGTTTTTTTTATTTTTCCAGGAAATAAACAGGCTCTCTGATAATAATTTTATTCCATTTAAGAGTTCCACCCTGTATATGAATGTGCGTTTTTCCAAATAAAATCTGTAATTTCTACTTTTAAAATTATTTAGTTTCTGAATAACGTAAATTTATAATGTATTAGGGAAATAGCTGTGGCAACGCTGTTTACTCCAGTGACACGGGATTCGACACATTCATTCATTTTATGTCAAAAATTGACTATCCAGTGTTGCTGTGCTGTGTTTGGGATTATTCGCGATTTTCAATCAATTTTCAGTGTTTTTTCCGTCTTTTATATTTTATTAGCAACAACAATGATTCCCCAGTGCGCGATCTGTAAAAAAATTGCCTATTCTAACCCTGGATTGGTATTTCGACGATACGTGAGGTTATGTTTTTTTCAGCCCAAGCAGTGGTGTGGTTAATTGTATATTTAGAGGTCTTAATTTTTCATGGTCTAGGAAAACTGCACGCCACTGATAAAGGCAGCCGGGGAAATGGAGGGGCAGGTTACAACGATACCATTTTTCAAGCCCATCTTTTTTTAGCTTATGCATAACTCTGGCGGTATGTATGATTGTAAAAAAATAATGATTTTTGACTGAGATGTGCTGTCTCCTCTTTTATTATATGTCTATGCATGAACTTGATTCCTACACACTACGAAAAAAATTTACAAATTCAACAAGTCGTTGAAGATGCTGACCTAAACCATAACATTCGAGGAGATTTTATAGCGTTCACAGTAATTAATCAAACTACTTCAATGTATCAATCAGTTTACAGTATTCTTGATAAATTGGGAGTAGGTATACGTAACTCGATAGTCAAGGCAAATGACAATCTACATCCATTGCTTATCTTTACATTTGGCGTTTGCCGTTAGCTGATATGTGAAAATTTGCATGTATTGGCAAAGAACAATAGTTTGTAGGTTCTTACCTTGTTTCAGCTTTCCTATCGATGAGTAGATCAGTTTTGTTGCCATAAACTCGGATAAGTACCGTCTCGTTCTCAGGTGCATCCTCTGGAAGACAGCCTATGAGTTTGTTCGTGATACCATCTGTTAACAGCTATACATATTCATTTTTTATTCATCAAATATTTTTTTTTTATTAATTAGAAATTTACGTAGATAAACAATAAATAATTGGTAGCTTATCAGTATATTTCTTGAGGTTAAATGTTAAATTGAATAACTACGTAACATTAAATTTAATCATTTATTTTGAAGATTGCCCCAATTTGGCGGTTTTCTTCAAACCAATAATAATTAATGTCAACCTACTCGACTATAATTTTCGAAGGAAACATTAATTTCAATTTCAGGATAATAATAATGAATTACTTAATGGGTATAACGGGTATAGTGCATTATTTGACGCAATTAGGTATATTTCGTAATATGATAAATAAATATAGTGTTTGATGAAGATTAAGAAAAGCCAGTCAAATTTATGGAGCAATTAAGGTTTAAAGTCAATCCCTATTTTCTGAACCTTGTGTTCAAAAATTCCAAAAAAAAATATATGTTTTATGGTTATCGATATACTTTAATCCATAATTTTTTTAAGCAAATTTGACTCGCCATTTTTGAGTTATATCGCAAAAACTGAAAAAAAAGTAGTTTTTCACCATTTATTTCAAAACGAATAGATGAAGTTTCCCATTATTTTTATCACGAACTACTATTGCAATTCTAAGCGACATATATTTTTTTCAAATTTTTTGAACATGTAGTTTTCTCGCTACTGCAAAAATAGTTGGAAATACGCCCGTAGCTACACTGTTTAGAAAAAAATCCGACGGATGAACGTTCAAAATTATTTGCGTTGGTCGAAACTACAACCTTGTTTATGTAAAACAGAATAATACTTCGAATTTCCGCCAAAAAAAGAAAAAACGTTCCATCACACAATTTAACCAAATGAAGATTTCTATTTTTTTTTGACAGTCAAGTTAGGGCACACTATAGGGGCGACAGCATTGACATCTCGCGTTGCTGTAATAAACTATAGGCCTGACTTTAAACCTTAAGAGTATAATATAAACTAAACGAAATCACACGACATTTTGTAAATAAGTATTTTTATAGAATAATAGGAACAAAGTATTCTGTAATAGTATATTATGCAATGATCATAATGAATGATAGCCATTAGTACACGAGCTTGTTGTAGGATACGAAACGAGCCGCAGGCGAGTTTCATATACAGTGTGATTATTTAAGTGTGCAACATATATGGGGATTTTTTTTAATAATAGGACAACCCAAATACAAACAAGGTCAAAAGTTGGTGCATGTCTGATAATCATATAAGGTGCACTTAGAATGGTTGCAAGTCAAACAGCATACAGGGTAGCTCAAACAATATCAAAATTGTACTGTAAAGTACCCTTATTTTAGAAAATTCAGCAACATGTTATTGAGAAAAGTTATTTGGAATAAAAAGTTAGGCCTAAATTCCAAAACATGGCATCCTAAGATTTTTTTCATTTTTTTTCGAAAAACATTGATAATTTCTATATTTTTTTATTTTTCATTTCCTCCCTTAATACTTTCAAAAATTAATTAAAATCAAATCAATTTTACATAACTTTGTTCAAATTCAAGCATATTTGTAAAATTAACTTAGATTTTTAATTTTCTATGGAATCACAAAGTTCATGTTTGTTGCAATGATATTCAACACAACTTGAAAATGTCGCAATTTTTTTTTTTAACAAGTTGCCCTGTATGCTGTTTGACTTGCAACCATTCTAAGTGCACCTAATATGATTATCGGACATGCAAGAACTTTTGGTCTTGTTTGTATTTTGGTTGCGCTATTACTAAAAGAAAATCCCATAATATGTTGCACACTGTATAACATGCTGTTTATATAACATGTTGTTTCTTCTTGTGAAATACTAACAGAAACAATCCGAAACAAGTTTGCTATTTTTTTATAAACGTTGTTCATGTTTAAAATAACTCGATTCCAGTGGCTGAAAAATTTGTATCATAATGAAAATCCTCATGAAAATCTGTATCCTAATGAAGTTCTTTAATTCGTGGCAATAAGTCATTTGAATAAGCGCTGTCCCCATGATGGATCTTCTCCCGCAATGACGGGAATGAATATAAAGATATATCTAACAAATTCCAATAAGAATTACACGGTAGGTACCTAATAGTACATATAGTGAAATTAATAAAATAATGAATGCACGTCATCAATGACGTCAAAATTATTGCCAATTGCAGTTTGTAATAAATTAAAATTCGTTTTAAACTCAGAGCGCATTTTCATTTTCTTTAACCCTACCGTAAAACGGGGATACCTTGACAAGGGGGAAACTTTGTGACATTCTGAAATTCAATTCAAATTAGCCAAACATTTTAAATTCGGCGCGCGAAGCCAAATTTTTCTACCGGCTGGTGGAAGCACATACCTACCTCACTCGCTACAAAAACCGTTCGGCAAGCTGGTACGCTCCCTTGGTAATTTGCAGCCTGATTCGAAGGGAGCATCTCGTTTTTGCAACTTTTTCGAAACGCCCAAACTTTCTACTGTACAGGGTGCTGCAATTTGGAGTGTTTTAACATGAAAAACACACTTCCCGACGAGATAGAGGAAAATTGACTTAGATGTCATGGGATCGATTTTCGAGAAACGTCGATTGTCAAAAACCGTATCGCGATATCTTCAATGGTACCATTAATACAGGGCGATTTTCGATTTTCCCCTATTATGAAAAATGGCTATAAGTTTTTTATTTATCAACTTCTTTTATTTCTGTAAAAACATTATGGAGACACTTTTTTGAGCACAATCCAGTGGCGGACTCGGTTTTTTTCTATATCGCTCCGATTCCGAGATATCGACCAAATTTCGATATTTTCAAATGAAACACCCTATATATTAATAGCTTATTGGATAGCTCTGTTTTTGCTGATTTCAAGGATATCAAGTTTGATAGGTTTATCTCTAACAGTTTTCGAGAAAAACAGAGCTATCCAATGAGCTATTAATATATGGGGTGTTTCATTTGAAAATATCGGAATTTGGTCGATATCTCAAAATCGGAGCGATATAGAAAAAAACTGAATCCGCCACTGGATTGTGCTCAAAAAAGTGTCTCCATAATGTTTTTACAGAAATAAAAAAAATTGATAAATAAAAAACTTATAGCTATTTTTCATAATAGGGGAAAATCGAAAATCGCCCTGTATCAATGGTACCATTGAAGATATCGTGATACGGTTTTTGACAATTGACGTTTCTCAAAAATCGATCCCATGACGTCTAAGTCAATTTTCCTCTATTTGGTCTGCAAGTATGTTTTTCCTGTTGAAACACTCCAAATTGCAGCACCCTGTACATCAGAATTTGAACACTCCCCAGAAAAATTCGTCAAAATTTCTAATTGCTTGGGTACTTGTCGGGATATCTACGTGAATACGCTTACGATTTATTAATTTGACACATTTTTTTTTAACAATAAACCAAAAAGAGTAACCTACCGGGGTAACTTTGTGACATGTAATTAGTATTGGAGAAACTTATGCTCAACCTAAAACAACGCTTAAAGGATCGACATGTCTCCTAATGTGGACGACTTCCTATGGGTGGAATTCACATCCCAATTTCTGGATGAATATTAGGGTGATAAATACTATATCGTATGATATACAATAAAAGTTTAAAATGTCTAAATCAGTATATACCCGTGTTTTTAATATCAGAAAATTATCAAGCATATATTTCTTGAGATTTCCTATCGTTTCAGACTAAAAATGACGGGGTAACATTATGTTTTCATTATAAAAACGCACTGTCACAAAGGACCCCGCAATATTTAAATGGAAATTGGTTACCCGTGATATTTGGATGAAATTTAAATATGTTATTAGGGATGCCGTAAGCAACATTTTTCACTTTGGGCACAACCCTGTATATATGACAGGTGAGGCGTGGTTAGCTGTCAAATATTGGAATCTGATATCCAAAAACAGAGTAACTATGGCAGATTTTGATGAACAAAAAATCTATTTCTACTAAGTCGACCAAGTTAGGTCGAAAAATGTCAACCATTTCAACACCTGTCAAAACCCTGCCAAACGGCAGCACTCATCTTTTCCATTTTTCAATATTTTGTGTCGTCATTTGACATTTTTAACTTCTATGTAAATTCTGAATTCAAAAATTAAAAAAAAAAAATGTGACGTGCATGAACTTTGTTCACTGTTTTATCACTAATAAACTACCTTAAAACGAGAAAGGACCAGATTAGAGTATTTTTTTCTACTAAAATAAATGACAGGTTTTGACAGTTCTGTCTTTTTTTTTTCAATTTTTGAATTTAGAATTTACATATAAGTTAAAAATGTCAAATGACAACATAAAATATTGAAAACTGGAAAAAATGAGTGCTGCCGTTTGGCAGGGTTTTGACAGGTGTTAAAATGGTTGACATTTTTCGACTTAACTTGGTCGACTTAGTAGAAATAGATTTTTTGTTCATCAAAATCTGCCATAGTTACTCTACTTTTGGATATAAGATTCCAATATTTGACAGCTAACCACGCCTCACCTGTCATATATACAGGGTTGTGCCCATGGTAAAAAATTTTGCTTACGGCATCCCTAATAACATATTTAAATTTCATCCAAATATCACGGGTAACCAATTTCCATTTAAATATTGCGGGGTTAGGTATAGTATACTTGCTATTAATTTGTACCAATGGAAATTCGTTTTTTTGGTATTGGTGATTCTTATTAATTTATTAATAAAAATGTAACGTGGAAAGATGAAAAACTTTAGTAGACATGATATGTAGTAAAGTAAAACGAAGTTGGTGCGGCAACATTGCGACTTGCCTACCTCATAAATTTTGATGACGTGCATCCATTATTTTATTAATTTAACTATATATTGTAAACGTACCTGGGAGCAAAGGGTTTTGACTTTGGTTTTACATATTCTGGCCTTAGAGCACTCGCTTGCTTCGCTCCCACTGGCCTCACTCAATTGGTAACACCTCGTTCTACTAAAATTAGTGCCTAATATACTATGTTATTACATTTTGTCTATGAACGGTTGAGAAAATGTTTTTTGATGATGTTTTCTAGTATGGTAGTATGTAGCATCATTTTCGAACTTTAAACAAGGGGGGAAAAATATTAAGCATTCCAGGTTGACGTCATAACCGATCCGCCATTTTAGCCAAGGGGCAAAAAAAGCCAAACATAACCTGATTTAATGTTATTTTCAATGCAAACCGAGAATTTTTGAAGTATTATTTTGTGAAGATGCCTTCGTTTTGTGGCGTTTTTGGGTGCTCCAATAGAGCTGAAAGGGATGAAGTGAGGTTTTTTAGGATACCAGCAGCATTTAAACATCGAGGGGATCGCATAAACGAGCTATCAAAAAAACAACGGAGTATGTGAATTAGATGCCTCAATAGGGGAGATTTGCCTGTAACGTTGTTAAAAATGCTCGAATTTGTTCGAAACATTTTGATAATGGTAAGTTTTATGACTGTCTTGTTGTTAAAATACAAAAACACTTCATCTCGGTAAATCAAAAAAGTTGTTTATGTTTCTACAAGTATATAGGTAACTTTTAATACCTTTTAGGTAGTCCAGCAGAATTTAAGGATACAAACAATCCGGATTGGATCCCCAGTACAAATTTAGGATATACCTACTACGATAATTGATAGAAGCTCAGAATGAACAAGCCACTAAACTAAGCTACATGCCAGGTCTGTGCACCGATCAGAACAGTCAAAAGGCTTGAGGAGTCATTCTACCACAAATTTATTTTGCTAAAGTTTATTTGTAAGGTTGTTAGTATCAAACTTTTTTATTTTTGAAAAAATTTAGATTCTTAAGCATTATTTTTGTTAATAAATTGTTTGTTTACTATTGTTGAATTGAAATGTAAAGTGGCATGTCTGTAAATACCTACAGATTTATTCATTCATTCCATTCATTCACAAAAACTAAAAACAAATTAAAATTTATTGAATAAATCAAAAAACGCAAAAATTCCAAAGCACAAACTTTGCCCCTCAGCTAATATGGCGGACCTGTTAAAAGTCACGTGACCTGGAATGCCTAATTAAAATACAAGTTGCAGAAGGCCACATTCCCGCACGAATTCGAAATTTGGGTGAGCGACGAAGGAGCGAGTGGCCGAACGAATGAGTGCCAGAATAGCCTTCTGCAACATGAATTTTATACTGTTTTCTCGATTTTGAATTTTATTTTCAATTGTTTTAACTTTTTTTGTGGTCGCTGTTAGTTGGGATTTTTTTCTCAAAATATAGCAGTTGGTAAAACTTACTTACCAACCAACTGATAGGTGGATTCTATTATTCAGTCACCTCAGTGACAATTTTGAAGGTAACGGACCTCCAAAAAAAAAAGAATAAACAATCAAAGATTGCTTTGATCACGAAAACGTCGCATTATTGTTTCTTTATCAGGATTTTTGACATGACATTTTGACATAAAAGTTCATTGACAAAATTAAAGAAAAATGTCGCTAAGACTGTCAAGACATACGTTTAAAAAACCTTAGCAATCTTTAATTGGTTGTTTTCTTGAAGACCAGTTACCAATCAATAGGTATACTTTGAAAACTGAATATAACCGTTGATAGGTATATCTAAAGCTTCATTCTTCAACGATATTGCGTGCGAGAATAATGACATTCTTGCGCCAAGATTTTTTTCTCCTAGTAACAAAAATATTTCTCCCTCTAAATTAGTAAAAAAAATTGTAGGTTAATGTGAGAGTGAAGTGAAATCTCACCGATTGAGTTGACCAGTTTTTGGTATGAGGATTGAGGAAGTACGAAATAAGTTAAACTTTTTGTTAACGCGTTGCCACTATTTTATCTAATTTTGACTATAAATGAGCAGTTTTATCACAGATTTTATATCACATTACTGTCAAAAATATTTTCAAGCTATTGACAAGTGAGAAAAAATGTCGGACAGTTAAAATTTTTCAGATGTAAGTAATTTGATAATTTGATGTGAGTTTCACGATGGCTACATGAAATCATTTCAACATTTTCACCATAGGAGCATATTTTCACCCTGGATCCACTTTCCGGAAGTATTTCAGAAAACCATCCTTGAGTTTTCGACATGCACAGCGGTAAAAAAATTGAATCGTGATTGAAATAAAAATACTATGTATACGGAAGTTTAATATTTTAGTTTAAAATTATTGACCTGATGTTGCATGTCAAATAATATAATAAATAAAATTACTGATGTAAATTGGAAAGTATTGATTATAGATTCAATTTCAATTTCTAAACAATAACGACCTCTGACCTTTGTCATACTGTTTCTCTGTGGATATCTTTAGAATAATTGAGATTCAGATGGAAGCATTCTGTCATAGCCTTCGTCATAGCGTAATAAATAGATGAAATCCTAGTTTTTTTATCAATATCAACTTTATTAAACCTGGTAATGTGTACGTAGTATGCTTTTTTTCCAATGGGTGCAAAAAAAAGAGATATCCTCTAGGGTTAATAAAAATACATGAAAAAATTCAATCCATGGTGTCATTTTAGAAGATACCTATATATAGCTTTCAAACAGCATGATAGGAATATACAGGTATATTCCTATCATGCTGCATGAAAATGTACGGAGTGCAAAAAATTCTAATAACAGATGGTTTTGTTTCTACATCTTTCACAACAGTACAGTACCTATTTAAGAAAGTATCACTTTGATTAAAGGGGGTATCATTTGTATTTTAGAATAAACATTTGTATTTCAGAAAAAAAAGTATTTTAGATTTTTCAAATGTGTTTGCGAAATATTCAAAAGTATTTTAGAAGTAAGAATTGTATTATCGATAATTTCCAATGTATTTTAGAAAAGTCAGATGTATTTTAGATTGAAGCAATTGTATTTATTTTAGAAACAATCATTTGAATTTAAGAAACGATAAATTGAACTTTTTTAGATTACATGTATGTATGTATAAATACATACTTACAGAGATGGACATCTCTTGTCGCAAATTTGGCATAAGGGGAATTTTAAGGAAATCAGCCAGTATAGAGTTAACTTGGTAAATCAAAAATTTATTTATGTCATACCAATACATTATTGTGTATTTATACCTTAGATACCATCTACATAATTCATTACTTTATGCCCGTGCAAGCATAAAGTACACATTATGGCCCGCGCGGGCATAAAGGCGCAAAAAACAGTTTTCAATTAACTTATTTTTTATTAACAAAATATAAATTTACTACATATTATTTTTGTCAAAAAATGATGATGTTTGCACACTGATGACAATTTGCGAAGTGACACTTTTTCCCCAGGTATTTATTATTCACAACCAACTGGTATGACATAAAAGTTTGTATGCATCACGGGTACCTACTAATAGATATATATATATATATATATATATATATACCCTCGGGCGACTTACGAACCCTCGGGCCAGAGGCCCTCGGCTTTGTAAAACTGTCGCCCTCAGGGCATAATCATCTACTTAGTACCCTTGATACATAAATAACTATTACAGCTTTCTCAAATTAATTTAGTTTCTCTAAACTATATTTGAAGCATTTCCAAATTTAAGCTGTTATTCCAAAATACTAATGATGCTTTCATATAATTAAGTATTTATTCCATTATTCATATGGGGATTCTTAAATACAAATGAATATTCTGAAATGCAGTTGTGTAGAAGTTGTAGAACCTTAAAGGTATTTTTCTTTAATTTGGTAGGAGTTAATTACTCGGTATATATATATACAGGATGATGGAGAACCTATTTTAGAGAAAATCAATACCGTGAAGAAATTTTGGATAAGAAAATGTTTGGTTCTGCATTACAGCTTAAATGGCACTTTAGCACTGAATTTTGAATGCAGTTATGTCAAATAACCTCAGGAAACCAGTGTTGAATGAGGTTTCTGTTTCTGCAGAAATCACAAACCAGTCAGAGCGAATTTCATTGGTTGAAAACAGTAAGAAACAACCAGAAAACTAGTTTTAACCAATAAAATTCACTCTGACTGGTTTGTGATTTCTGCAGAAACAGACCTAATGTTTTTATACCTACGTAAAGATCACCCTGGATGGATACTCAGTTAAAACGTACAATAGTTGTTTTTTATTTTTCTGATAGAACACCAGAATACAAAGACCAAAAATGTTTCGAAATCATTTGTTTATTCAGCAATGTAAATATTATGTAATTTAAATTCAAATTTTCTAGGTCATTACCGATATAAATTAATTCATGCGGTTATTGCATAGGTATAATAAATTAACAAATCTCACCTTAAATCTAACACTGGCAACTGGCCATTCTGGTCGTATAACTTGCAATATCTTCAAAGCTCCACTTTCAAGATCATTTTCGTTAACTGTCACACTGATATGTTCGAATTCGACGTCACTATATTCCATAATTCGGCGCACCGACTTGAATAAAAAATGTAAAACAATTATAAATAAATAAATAACGACAATAAAACGCACTGCAGAACGTCGAGAATCAATAGGAATAACAAATTCAACCAGCTGAGTAGAACGTTGAACGGTTTATGGATAAATTAAAATAAATATCTCTTTCAAAGATAAGTGGAAATAATTATTATGTTAACATTTATTTTTATGTGGCTAGAATTTTTAAATTATAAATGCAGGACGTTACAGTACGGTACGGCGACGTGGTACCAGTTAAAGTGAAGTCAGTCAGTGGTTATGATGATCATTTTAAATTTACAATTTAGATCGATGCTACGCTTGATGATGGTAATAAATAAAACAAATAGATTGGTTTATCTCAATCAATACCGATAAAATGGGCTGACTTTTACTTTCATTCATTTGTTGGTCTGTTGGTCTCTATCTCGGTCCGATATGAAATGGATACCTAAGTGTAGAAAAAAAATGAATAATAGCAGATTTTTTTGTTCTTTTGATGTACCTTTACACTGATGATTTTTATTGTGATGTAGAAGCATTTATTTATCATAAATGTTTTTTTCTCCAAACGTCAGAAAAACGTCACTTTGTTAACCCCTGTCAAGATGTCAGAAATTTGATTTTTATGCTGCTAGGCAAATCCAGCGGGTTAACACCTGTCGAGGTAATAGAAATTTAATTTCTATGCTGCTTGGCAACCCCAGCGGCAGCAAAAGTACTTTTTGTGCCGCTGGAGCGGCAGTAGAAGTACTTTTAGTGCCGCTCGTACTTTTGCTGCCGCTCAACCATTCACTTGCCCCCGAGCTTACCCCATTCGTTTGAAGAAAAAATAGCGTGTTGCATACGGAGTAGAAGCACTTTTTTGTGCTTCAGCAGTGTTGCAAGCCTCACTACGTTCGGCTCGCAAACCTACCGCTTCAGCACAAAAAAGTAAAGCTTCTACTCCTAATACAACAATATACTATTTTATTCAAGGTGGGAACTCTGGGAGGACAGTTAAAAGAATTCTGACGGAACAACATGAGATCATCCCCCCTCAACGACATATACATAGGTATATAAATAAGACTGGGCTAAAGGTGGAAAGTGGAAATTAAGTCGGAGAAAACAGAAGCAATTCTGACAACAGAAAGAAGAGCATTACCAAACATGGCACCACTGACATTAAATTATACCCACAGAATCGACTAGGAAAACAATATACAGGGTGGCCAATTGAAAACGAAACAGAGGTGATTTTGGGCTCCACAAGACATTTAAGAAAAAACCCTCGTACCCGTCAATTTTTGATTCAAGGGGGAATCATTTTTTTGGCATTTTCACCCCCTGGTGGGCAAAGCCCTAGAGGAGGTGACAAGGGCACCAAAAACTTTAAATGGAATGAGGGGTCGAGTGATACCTTATTTTGAAGCTATTTTTATGTAGAATATAACCCCCGAGTCTTACATCGCTACTATCTACCTAGCCATTACAGGGGCTAATTAAATTTACAAAAACATATTGGAATATTTTGTATTTAAAAAATGCTTCAAAAACAAAATCAATCAAGTAAATGCTGAAATGACCCCAGAAGAAAAAATCTAACGCGCTTAAATCTGGAAAACGTGGGGGCCACTCAATAGCTCCTCTCCTTAGAATCCATTGTCCTGGAAACGTTTGGTCCAAATATGGACAAACCATTGCAGGATAGTGGGGTCGCGCACCATCTTGTTGAAATATTAGACGGTTTTCCATGTATCCGTTATTATTCTCTAGTATCTCCACCAATTCTGAATAAATCGCATCTTCTAATCACTCTAGGTACATTTCTACTGTTAAATTTATAAGTAAAGAAGGGGCCTATTATACGGTCACCAAAAATGCTAGCCCAAACACTTTAGTTTCTCGGGATGTTGCGTATGAACTTCACGAAATATGCTTTCTGGGATTTGAATTAGCCCAATAGCGGCAGTTGTGACGATTCACCGTACCGTTTTAGAAAAAAAGAGATGCGATTCACCCAGAATTGGTGGAGATACTAGAGAATGATAACGAATACATACACTAATATTTCAACAAGATGGTGCGGAACCCCACTATGCTGCAGTGGTTCGTCCATATTTGGACCAAACGTTTCCAGGACAATGGATTCGAAGGAGAGGAGCTATTGAGTGGCCCCCGCGTTCTCCAGACTTAAGCCCGTTAGACTTTCTCTTCTGGGGTCATTTTCAGCAGTTACTTGATTAATTTGGTTTTTAAAGCATTTTTTAAATACAAAATATTCCAACATGTTTTTGTAACTTTAACTATCCCCTGTAATGGCTAGGTAGATAGTAGCGATGTAAGACTCGGGGGTTATAATTTACATAAAATAGCTTCAAAATAAAGTATGTCTCGACCCCTCATTCCATTTAAAATTTTGGGGGCCCTTGTCACCCCCTCTAGGGCTTTGCCCCCCAGGAGGTGAAAATGCCAAAAAAATGGTTCCCCCTTAAATCAAAAATCGACGTGTACGAGGGTTTTTTCTTAAATGTCTTGGGGAGCCCAAAATCACCTCTGTTTCGTTTTCAATTGGCCACCCTTTATGTAAAATATTTAGGTACCCACATAGACCACCATATTACTACAAAAATAGTACAATGTAAAGTAGCAGCATTCATGCTTAACGCACTAATACATACAAAACCAGGGCCGTATCTAGGGGGGGTTTTGAGGGTTCAAACCCCCCCCCCCCCAAAAAAAAACAATAAAATTCAAAAAATTTAACTTAAAAATAAACAACACTTATTAAATACTTTTTTTTTTTTTTATTACTACTGTAACAATTTTTTTTTGCCACTTTGTCTAACCCCCCCCAAAATTTTGGTCTAGATACGGCCCTGTACAAAACATACAAAAACAATACACTACTTTACAAACCAATAATAAGACATAGGACCTAAACTACTGTAGGGTTCATCGACTTTTTACAACATAACAAAAAGCAACAGAAATAATCTACAGGTATTTCAAAATAAAATACTTGAAAACTTATAAGGTGCAGACAGAATCCCAAACCAAAAATACAAAAACCTATTCGACGATTTGGGTACCCAGTAACAAAGACTTTTATTAGTTATATATTAACTGTTCCATGCTTATACCTACATAATATTATGTTATTATGTACGTGTATTGTCCGTCGTTTTTAATCGGACACTTTCCGTATTAGGAACGAGGGGGTGAAGGATATTGCAAAAACAGGTAGGAGCCACCAGCTTACATTCCTTTGGAGTATCCGATTAAAATCGACGGACTGTAAATAACTTTTTCAAACGAGTTTTTTACAATGCTTTTCCTACAACTGCAAAATAGAATAACCAAATATGTACTTTTTATTTGTTAGATCAACATCAGAAATTTGTGACAATCGCAATTTATGTCATGTCATATCAGGATGATAGGATAGGACCAAAATAAATAGAAAACTAATAAGCAGCGTGTGAAAAACTTTTTCGCACGCTAAGGAGCGTGTGAAAAACTTTTTCACACGCTGTGCGAAAAACTCTATTTTCAGAGCTTGCCTAGCGTGCGAAAAACTCTATTTTCAGAGGCTGTCGTAGGAAAACCTTTTTTCGCACTCGCTCGACTTGTGGAACTCGCCTACGGCTCGGTCCAACAAACTGTTTCGCCGTGCGAAAAAAGTAGTTTTCAAAACTTGTTGTTTAAATAACTATTAAACTATATTTATTTGGAATGAACTATAGGTACACTTACTAAAAATGCTGCAATTAGCAATAAATTAGTAAAATTTAAAAAATAGTTATTTTTATCACAAGTACCTAAAATGAAGTTTTTCAAGACGAATCATTGCTGTTTCCGGACGAGGCGTCAGCCGAGTCCAGAATAGCAGATGAGTCCTGAAAAACTTCGTTAGGTAGGTACGTGTGACAAACACTATTTTTTGTCAAACGCTTTTTAAAATTCTTCAGAAAGCTAAAATTTGCAAAATTTCCTCAATGTTTGAAATCATAAAAGGTGCATCCAGAACTCTAAGATCCAGAATGTGGTCTCAAAATAAAGTTTATATCACATCAGGGATGTCGTGAAATCAAAAAAAAATTACAAACGTGATCAAAATCGAGACGGCCGGCGGTAAGTGATAAAAGTATAACTTTCTATTCGATCGTGGATTATAATACTCGTAACGTTACAAAGACATGTTGGATTGAGCAGTCAAGAAATGGACATTTAAAATTTTTGTTATGTACGATTATCGCCGTGACTAGAGTCCCGACTCGGGATCAACGTCGAATCCAGAATAACGGCATTAAATGACGCCATCAGTAGTTTTGTCGGGACTTAATATAGGTCCCGAATCGGGACTCGCATATGGTCCCGAAATTATAAGAAGAATGGCAATAATTTCTTCATAAGGTGAAACCATATTATTCAACTCAAATAAATAAGACAAATATTTTCAAAGCGAAAATTGCATTTTAAAAACACTGATTTTATTGTTTACAGAAAATAGAGTAGGTAATTTAAACATTCTGGCATTCTAAAAAACCATTGCCTCTTTGGAATTTTCTCAAGACTTCTACACTTCAAATGGAAATGCTGAAGACAAGCTTCACATTTTATCGAGGTGTAACAAGAATCTAACGTTTTTTCGCATATCATTCTACACATTTCGCACAGATATGAAAAAGCCATAACTTCGTTTTTAATTTTTTTAATTTTATTTATACCGATTGCGGTAAGATCAGAACATCTCTTTTTTTAATAATCTCGGGCATTTTAATCGACTCTGTATCGTGTATCCACATAATAATTATTAGACATGTTTTTGTTACCTATTATTTTCAACTTGCAAGATTTCATTCGGTTCAGTTTGGATTTAATTTTTAAAATTTTAGATTTAATTGATGTATGAACAATTATTCAAGATTTCATTACTTAAAATAATAATATTTGGGTTATCTGTGTTAGCAAAATTCAAAGTTGAGATTTCCACGTCCTTAAAACAGGTATTATAATTCGGGTCCGAAAGCAAGTTCCGAGTTGGGGCGAAACACCAGGCTTGACAAAATTACTGATGACGTCATTCGAGACTGAATATGGATCTCGAGTCGGGACTCATCTATATAGTCACAGCGTACGTGGCTGAAGTTAGCAACGGAATCAGAAACGAGAATCATGTTTTTACAGTCATCCAGATAAGTAGTGCAGCATATAGAAATTATTTTATAATTTAGCGCTGCCGATACCTAATAATTGTTTTTATGAATAAAAAATATGTATTGCCCAGTAAA